GTACATGTACCTTTTTTTCAGCGATTGCCACGCAGATGTAACCCCATACATGCAGAGGCTACCGCTGTATGCAACCGCACACGATCGCACGTCCCGGGATTGCCCAAGTCTGCACCAGCCCTAAAAAGGGTCAATTCACTTTCCCAAGTAATTTGGGAAAATGGAATTACCCGCACAAATCTCCCTCCCGCTATACTTACCTTTCGTCGACCGGTCCTTCCCGTCCACCAGTACGGGTGTACTATCTCTGTACCTGTTCCATGTATTCTGAATTTCGCTCGCAAATTGCAAGCACTCGTTGGTCAACGCGGTCACCTGACGGCACTGACCAATGAGAAGCGCTTCTTAGCACGGCTAAATACGGTTGTGGTTAAAATTATTTTTTTTGTATCAGGACAAGTAGATTGTCATGAGGGACAAGTAGATTCGGCCCCCACTTTAGTCCTTGGACAAGTAGTTTTTTCCAACATTTCCACACCCCTGATGTATCATCTGCACACCATACAGCGTTTATACACCGATCGTTCATAGGATGCAGTGCTCAAAGTGATAACATGGATGTATGGATCACCACTATCAAACAACACTATCAAAATCCATGGACGTGGATATATCCTTCAATACTTTATAACATCATCACATGTGCCATACAAGCCAGCGTTTTGTGGCCCTGAAACTGTGGCTTGTATGACAAACGTGACAATGGTGCTGGTGATCTAAACATCCATTCCTTAACTCCTTGCCATCTTCCCAAGAAGAAAAAAAAAACGTAAAAAACGGGCGGACCCTTCCCGGCAGGTGGACGTACATGTACGTGACTTTTTTCTGCGTGGGCGAAGATCTCTGCTTCATCAGCTTCTTTGGGGGACCCTAGGTGACATTAGGGGTCTTGGGCACCCCTGATGTCTCCATAAAGATGACCTGTCATTTGTTTTCTAGCTATTACATAGGGGGATTTTTAGCCCCCTGTGTGATAGAAATCAAGTTAAGTTTAAAAAAAATAAATAAAAGTAAGTCTTATATTAAAAAAAACCCACCATAAAAAGTCAAGTCCCCGCCCCCACACTTATAAAACGTAAATACACGTTGGGTGCGCCTACTTGCAAAAACAACGATTACACCACACGTTACATATAGCTGCCAAAGTCGCAGTGAGAGCAATAATTCTAGGCCCATCAATAACTGATAACACTAAAATGATGAGTAGTAAAAGCTTTCAAAGTATCGCCTATGGCCAGTTTTAGGTATGGTATTTTTTGCGTTTTTGCACAATTTTAAAGCTTGACATGTTTGGTGTTTATTTACTCAACGTGACCCTGTATTTTATAGTTTATCAATAAATTGGGTAATAATGTTCTATAATTTTTTTAAATTATATAGTAAAAAAAAAAACCTGCAGTGGTGATTAAATACCACCAAAAGAAAGCTCTATCTGTCCCCCAAAAATGGCATAAAATTCATTTCAGTACAGCGTTGCATGACGGAATTAATGTCAAAGTACCACAGCGCTGAATACTGAAAAATGGCCTGGGCAGGAAGGGGGTTTAACACCCCGGTCAGCAAGTGGTTAATATGGTTCATGTCAGCACTTCCAAACCAACACTATCTTAAAGGAAAAAAAGGGGATCGGCATGCAACAAAAATGGCTGTATATATATATAATCCATACAAGAAAAAGAGCTGTATAATACTTTGACACACATTAATAACATTTTTGTTAAGCATAGCTAAAGTCATAAGCAAAATATAATGAAGTTCCACTTCTATCCTGAAACTGCTAATAGTTTGTTTAAAATGCATGTCACCAATTTTGGTCAAGTAATATTGGCGGGAGAAAATTGCCGCTCCTGAGTAATATTCTAAATAGTAGTGCTTTTGCCACAGAGTATCATCTCTAGCACAGAGGAATATGTAATTAAATGCAGTTATGCAAGTGCCACTGATTCACAACAATAAGTGGTGCATCATACATCCACTCTATTTATGAAACCTCTTAAGCAATCCTGTACATGCAGCTAGGAATGCCTGCCTACCTCACCCTTAAATAATCATAGTTTTGGTTGATAAAAAAAAAAAAAAAAAAAAAAAATGTATTGGAAGAAACTCTGATGGGGCAATAATAGTATCTAATGAACTTTGGAAACTGGCCAAATCTTAGCGCACATTATGTCACTACTAAGTCATGTAAAAGGGAAAACTGTGCTGTCCATAGGAAACAGATTATTCAGCTAATTCTTTCAGGTTACAATTTAAATGATGAAAGTGCCTTAACATGGTCATATTATCAGATATATTATTATACATGCCAAGTAACACATTCAGGTCTTAATGAACTCTCAGATTATTACCCTAACCCCCTACCAATCCATGATCTGGTTGCACCTAGTTCTTTTCAGACTTGCTGTCAACATATGACCAATCACCACACTGACCTACGTTCTGACCATGAAGACCCATATTGAGTCTCTGTATGAACCCGATCTAATGTGAGTGAACAGCATCACAGAATTATTTGTTCCTCCACCAGTCATTGCGCTAGATTGTGGCGCTCTGTCCTTTTCTCGTTTTCCAGAACTACACAAGGAGCGCTACCATTGCTACTCACCTCCACAGCAATACCATTAACTTAGTGCAAATTCTGGTGCCTGCAGCATGCTTGCAGCAGACTGATGGACATCATCCCAGCCTAGGCAACATCACCAGACTGGAGCGGAAGGGTTGCTTTTCAATAATTGTGCAACTTTCTTTAAAAAAAAATGACAGTGGCTTAATTAGTGTTGTCAGACTTGTAGTGCTCATTGATGCTAAAATTGGTGTGGGCTGGTGGCTGTGTAGGGGTGATGTTTTGCAATGTTATAGTGGAAGGAACTGTTTATCTTTTTTAAAACTTGATTGAAATGTCACAAAAAATCACATTTCACTCACCTGACATAAGGTAACAAGAGGTGAGGCTCATTGTGAAAAAATGCAGCATGTCTGCATTTTTATACAAGATACCACAACCAGCCTCAACGCAGCACTATGGTGGAAAAGGGAAAACAGTGTGTTAGAGAATGAGCACTGCAGATCCCGCTTCTGGGATGAGTCCAGCCCCGGCATAGAGTATTTTACTATACAGATGAACTAAAGCTGGCCATACACCTTACAATTATCTGCAGATTGTCTGTGGTCAGATGGAAAAGGTGCAACAGATTCCTCCATCTACACTTAACTGTGTGGATGGAGTAGAGCTGCAACAGTTATTGTGCCCACACACTGCTCGATTCTCGTACGAGAATCGCGGGAAATCCCGCGATTGTACGAGAATCGAGCAGTGTGAACGAAGACGTGCGACCGTTTCTACTGTACGGTCGCATGTCTTTTGTCTAAGGAGCACGCTAGAAAACCAGCCGAAAATCGTACGATTTTTGGCTGGTTTGACCGGTGCTCGGGAGACAAATGCCGAACGGGCCGGTGTGCGCACACTGCCTGTTCAGCATTGTGGTCATCGGAAGCCTGCCCCTCAGGGGGGCGGGCTTGCGATGATCGAGAGTACGATCTGCCTGTCCAAGATGGGCAGATCGTACGTTTTTTTAATTACTTTACAACCATCGCAAGACTAAGGTCTTGCGATGGTTGTAAAGTGTATGGCCGCCTTTAGTGTAAGGTGTAAGGGGACCTTAACCCTTTAAAGAGCACAGGCGATCAGACTCCCAGGATTCGTCCAGCCATGACAAAGTATTTTTCTATTAGGGTGAACTAACTCTTTAAGACAGCGGTTCTCAACCTGTGGGTCGCAACCCATTGTTGAGTGGGTTGCCGCGTTCATTTCTGCTGCGCTGAGCGAGAGCCTCCTCCTTGCGCAGCAGTGTCAGTCATCAGGAGGACAGCAATGGCTTTGAATAAAAAAAATTGCCGCTGTACACACTGCCTGGCCGCTGCAGCAACATCTAGTGGCCGGGGAGTGTTTACAGCCAGACCTTTCTATGCACAGCCATTGCTGTCCTCCTGCCTCCCATACTGTGTGGGCTCTGCAGGAAGTGGGCAGCTTAGCAGGGCTGGGAAGGCTGCATGGAGACGGAGATGGCAAGTAGGTAGCAGGGGCTGGGGAGGGCTTGTATTCTTGTGAGTGTGCTTCTATTTTTATTCCCGAGTCCAGTGCCTTACCAAGTCCTGAGTCCAGTGCCCTGTTGGGGGTTACCACATCTTGGCAAAATGTTACCAAGGGGTCCCGGCCCTACAAGGTTGAGAACCACTGCTTTAAAGGAACACTGGCGATCAGACTTCCGGGATTTGTCCGGTCCTGGCAGAGTATTTTTCTATTGGGGTGAACTAACCCTTTAAGGAGCACTGGTGATCAGATTCCTGAGATTTGTCCAGCCCTGACAAAGTATTTTATTATAAAAGGTGACGAAGCCATGGCTATCTGGCTCCTGGGATTTGTCCAGCCCTAGCAGAATATTTATCCATTAAGGTGAACCCTTTGAGCACTGGTGATCTGGCTCCCGGGATTCATCCATCCCTGCTGTAAACTATCTAAAAGTAACTGTGAGCTCCATTTTAAACAGTTTTTCACTCAGATGCTTAAATATATTGAATAGGGTAAGCCATGCAATACAAAAGGTGTACACTTTCAATACATCTGCTAGACGTAACCATAGCTAGGCAAACAAAGATAACAGGTGATGTGCATGTAAACCCTCAGGAGAAATAGCAAACGCAGCTAGTCAATCGTAATACAACATAATGTGTCTCTACACAGATGTCTCTCCAGCAGGGATGTTATGAGATCCGGACATATAAAGCTATTGACACAGGCAAGGGATGGTACACATACAATGTCAGGTGAGCACAATGTGACAGACATGTTCAGCCATCATTTCCTTATGGCGCTGTCACACGGCTCCCTGCAGAGATATACAGGAATGGAGTGAGGTGCGCAGTAGACTATCCGCCCACAGTTAATGGCCCAGCATTTAAATGAATGCTATTGCCCAAATAAATAGGCCCGCCGCACTCACCATACACTTCTTGCCCAGGTAGCTGTACAGAGCCTCATTCTCCTGCGAGGTGAGGAGAATAGAGCCAGAGTTGGTGACCCTTTTGCTCTGCCTGTTGTTCACTGCATTGTTGTTGTTACTCATGTTGGGTGCCGGCTGCCTCCCTGCTCTTTGCAGGTCTATAGCTGTAGTGTAAACGGTGAATCAAGGCCGCTCCATGTCCCGGGCGACTGTCGTCGTGTTGTGGGAGGGGCTAATGCCGCCGCTTCCTCCCTGGCTGTATAAGCGGGCAAGGCGCTGTGGTAGCGGAGGAGGAGCAAGTGAGACGTGCTCGCTCACAGACGCAGGAGATGGACGCGCACGTGCAGCGCAAGCCCTCCACGAGCTACGTTTTGTTAGGGCGAGGGGGCGGTACACTGCCTGTGTACACCTGCTACGAGAACATGGGAAAAATGGGATTGACTGTAGGAGGCATAAGGAGGCAGCGAGAGGATTGAGGCCGAGGTCAATTAAGAGAACTTCAATAAAATGGCGCCTGTAATGGGGACAAATATGGAAAAGCTTATTTAGTCTCTAGGAAACGCATACGAGTTGTTAAAATAAGTTGATATTGTGTAATGTCTAGTGTTTTTGCCTGTCTTGTTTGTTATGTTCAGGGCCACAGAAAAAACATTTAAAACAGTTTTTGTATTTCTTTTTTAGTCGTATATAAATATGATTATTTCAACTGCACCATGCACAGTCAGTAGGTGGTGTGTTCGAGTTTAGTGCAGGGATGGGCACTGCAGGTGTGCTTTAACTACAAATCCCAACATGCCTCTGTGTCTGGGAGTCATGCCTGTAACTGTCAGTCTTACAGTTAGGGTTGCCACCTGTCCAGGATTCACCCGGACAGTTCGGGTTTTAAATGTTGTGTTCGGGTTTTGTGCAAGCTGAATCCCGGACACAAGATGTGAGGCAGACATGGGCAACCAAAATTAGGATAGGTGCTACTGAACCCCCACTGAAAATAGTCTTGACTGGGATATTTACATATGAATGGGTGGCGCTATTTACATATGAAGAAGCCGCGACTGGTTCTCCCCAAAAAATTTTGTGCGTCACTAGAGTGTTCGGGTTTCGATGGAAGAAAAGGTGGCAACCCTACTTACAGTGCCTCATTGGACTTGTGGTTCCACAACAGCTGAAGACCCAGAGTTGCCCACCCCTGGTTTAGTGACAGCAAGCGCTATTCAGTCTTTACTGTGTGCTGTAATGTGCAAAACAAGCGTCGCTGGAACACCAGGGAAACACCCATTACGTGCACTGCTACACCTAATGCACCTTTCTAATGAACCTGTATTGCACCAAATCACAACGCGTAGCAGCACACTGCACTATGCTCCCTAAACTGAAAAGATATGTTCACCTTTTGTAAAAATGAAAGAAATGCATAATTAATAATGTATAAAAATAATATACATTTCTTTAATATGTGCATTCAATCCTGGAAAGCATTGCAATTGTGATCACCCGGTCACAGCTGCAGAGCTCAGGCTTCTGCACATTCTCTCCCAGTCAGAGCTCATACTGAGGTACAGAGTTTCAGTTGGGAGAGATGGGGGGAAGGACAGCTGGACTTCATACTGCATTAAATCACCTTATACAGCGTCTAGCCATCCTCGCATTCCCACATCTACCTAGAGGGAGGACGGCTGGACGCCTGCTGGGTCCCTCCCACAGCTCTGCACAGGTTATGTATAGCACAGTGATGATGTCACTGCTACTTTGGCAAGGAAATATCTGGATTTGCAAAAAAAAAATTGGTGTACACAAAATTAATTTATACCCTTTGCGGTGTTAAGGAATATATTTAAATAAACATTTTCATGCCCAAAATTGAGCTTTAAAGTAGTTTTTTTAATAAAGAATTCAGTTCAAAAAAATATACATTGCCCAGCAAAGTATTTCTTTGTCTTTTTGACCAAGCACTTAAAGTCATCATGTTTCCGAACTGCTGGCTCCAACTCTCTCAGCTCAGCTCCACTAAACTTCCTGTCCCATGCAAGATCACAAGGGACAGCACAGTCTCCAGCAGCTGTCCATCTACTAGCTTCTAGAAGGGTGGAGGGAGGAGGGGGGGGGGGCAGGGGGGAGGGCAGTAGCTTGATTTGCTGTGTCTGTGTGTTTCTAGATACACATACATGATTACCATCCTGTCTTGAATTGTATTGTGATAGTAATGTCTTCCTTATATTGTAAAGCGCTGCGCAAACTGTTGGCGCTATATAAATCCTGTATTATAATAATAATGCATACAGCTTACTAGCACACCCAAGGGGGGCTTCATAGGACTCTACAAGGGAAAGGAGCCACCCTAAAACCGGATATCAGGTCCTCTTCTCAGGGGACCAGCTGATTCTGCAGGAGGCTAAAACTTTCCAACATGAAGGAGCAGCATCCATTGTAAGAGATTTCATCAGCATTTGGAATAGCTTAAAACCCTTTTCACTTTAATATCACTTTAACATAATGTACATTAATGTGAGACATCACATGTTAATGCGTGTGGAATAGCAAAAGTGTGTTCGTTGGTTATACTGGAGGAATACAGAAGTGCACATCGGTGTGGTGTCAGCAAGTGCAGAAGTGCATGGCAGTGCAAAAGTGTGGCGGTACACGGTGTGGAGGTAGCGAGCAGGGTTCTCTGTATTAGTGGTGAGCAGGGTTGCACATGTCAGTTTGGTGACAGTGACCAGGGTCCTGCATGCCGGTGCAGTGGCATCCGTGTGGTGGTCCTGCAAGATTATACACATCAGTGTGGTGCCAGCAAGTAGGGTTCTACGTGTCAGTGTGGTGGCTGTGGCGTTCAATGGAGAAGTGTGAGGGTGCAGTGGAGAGATGGCAGAGTAGTAGTAGGGTGGCAGTAGAGGTGCAATAGGGGGTGGTGTAAGTGTAGCAAAGGGGGCTAGAAGGTGGATGGTAGAGGGGCAGTAGGTGGCTAGACATTGATAGGTGCGCTGTAAGGGGGTAACAGAGGAGCAGTACAGGGTGGAGGAAAGGTAATGGGGGTGCAGTAAAGAGATTGTAGAGATATAGTAGGGGACGTTAGAAGGGCAGTAGATCATCAGTAGATGGGAAGAGATGTATTTGGGGACAGTGGGGGGTTTGTAGAGGAGAACAGCAGTGCAGTACAGGCTCACCATACCCACAGTGGCTTCAGTGAAGTAGGACAGGACTGTACTGGATCCAATAATAAAGCCTGGTACTCAGGACCTGCAGCCTGAGAGCAGGTTCCCCCTGGCACCACATTTTTCATATTGATGTGGTTTTCCGCTACCTGTGGCCTCCTCTAAATCGGAGACTTTGTCATGCATCTGGGGTAGTGTCTTTGGAATAAAACAAAATGGCGCAAATCCTGGGTGAGCGCGTGGTAGCAAATTATTGTTACCTAAGTGCTGCTATGGGCAGTTACTTTAAGAATGCTACTGCATGGTAGCATCACCATATTTATAGAGACGACAGGTAGCTTCTGCACATTAGAGAAGAACTCAAAGAAATGTTTTTATTAACTCTTGCAGTGGGGCTACCACCAAACTGCAAGGGTTAACTGCTCATTTGTGTCTAGGTTAAAAAAAACAGTTATTATATAAAAGCTCCGAGCTTCTTCTTAGGCCGGTCCTTCCAACATCTCGCCCCCTTTCTCGGCAGCGGTCTAAGGTCCCGTAAATCATTAACATCTATACACAGTGGATAGATGTAAGGACGATAAAGATACCAATGCTGCATGGAGCAGGAGAGAGCACTGTGACAGCTGGCCGGCTCGGAGCTTCGGGTGAGTATATCTTTGTTATTTTAGCAACTAGACACAAACAAGCACTTAACCCTTGCAGCGCGGGGGTAGCCTCACTGCAAGGGTTAATTTTTAAAAATCCTGGAGTTCTTCTTTAAGATGCTATCACACAGGTATTATTTCCATTTTGGATTATACGAAAGATACAACTGCACATGCTTGGCGGTGCCACCATTGTTCAGATAACTATCAGAATTTTCTGCAAGTGTTATGCATTCCTACCCACACCATTATCTCACACATGGGCTGTAGTGATGTCATCTTACCGGAGGCCGGACTCCCACACCAGCAAAACCCTCCCACTGTGCCTGGTCACCACATCACCGCTCAATATTCGGCTGTGAATGCTACAGAAAACTTCATCAGCGCATGCATGACTGCAGAGCCCTAAGGAGCCAAATTGAATTTATTTTTTGTTTTATTTCACTTTCAAGGTAATTGTTTTTTTAAATTCACATGCCTCACCAATATTTCTCTCTGTCCACCTAACCTGATCAACTTTCATATGTTTTTTCACAGGAATAGAGGGACACTGCCTGTTGTGAATAGGCTGTCATTAGTGGATAGAGGGGAATGGATGCAGATAGTTAAAAAATGGACACTGACAGAATGATTGGTATTGGTGGCAGAGCCGTAGCTTGCTCTTTTTGTGCCCGAGGCAAGAACATAAAATTGTGCCCCTCAACAGACGTGTTATTTAAAAAAGTGTATAAATTTTTTTTTATTTTTTTTACTGTTGGGGGGGCTTTGGGGAAATATCAGGGGTCTAAACAGACCCCTGACATTTACCTTTTGAAATAGAAAAAGGGATTAAGGACACAGAATCCTCTGCCCTTACAGCTGCGGGATCCGAGGATAAACTGGAGCCTGTGCAGATCCTCCTCTCCCTGCCGAGTCGCAGTGTTGGCCTGCTTGGTGCCCCTGTTGCCAATGGTGCCTTGTGCTTACCATGGCAACAGGGGCAAGGGGGCGCAGCCAGGCCGGCCCTGGCTACGCCCCCTCTCAGCTGCGCTGAGGCGGGTGCCTCACTCGCCCTATGGTAGCTACAGCCCTGATTGGTGGTGACACCAACATCTACCCAGATAGCAAAGATAACTTGCCACAAACTTGTGGCAGGGTTAAAATGTAATTCTTGTTAACTTGCTGCACACATTCCTGGCAGGTTGTAGACTTGCAGCAGAAGTTCTAGTTGACACTTTTTTTTTTTACTTTGTAGCAAATTTGCTTGGCAAGTCTACAGTAAGGCCCCATTCACACCTGACCGTTTTGTAGCGCGTCCTACGCTCGATGAACGCTCTACAAAACGGTCAAAAAAATTAATAGCATTGTAGTCAATGGTATTGTTCCCACCTGTCCGTATTTCCGCCCGTCCCGAACGCACTACAAAACGGCCCACGCATGAAAAGGTCCCGGAGCGTTTTTTGCTGCGTATTGGTCCGTTTTGTAGGGCGTTTTCCATTTGTATACTGCCAAGTAGCCTTTGGAATCGCGCGACTTTTTTACCGCGAATCGCGGTAAAAAAAACGCGTGACGGTCGCGCGACAGACGCGCATATTACAATACGCATAGGTGTGAATGGGGGCTTAGAGTCCTGCAGGTCTTCGCAAGAGCTCTGCAAGTTTACAGCACTTTTGCAAAGCACGTTGATCTGGAGACTTGCAAAGCAGACTTGCTGCAATTGTGCAACAAAATTGTGAAGCTTGGCAAGTCTAGCAATAGTTTAGCAAGTAATTTTCAAACTTGCAGCTCAATTGCTTGCTATCTGGGTACACATGCCTAAACATAAATGGACTGTCTAAGACAGACATGATGTGATGGTCATTGACCGTCACACTGATTTGTATTGATGCACAAACGGATGGATAATGGCAGACACACACTCATGGAGAGAACAAATGGGCATTGGCAGACACACTGATTGTGGTAGAGAAGTAACATGTGGCATTGACAAAAACTAACTGACATTGCTCCCAAATCTTATTTATATTGACACATTGATTTCATTAGAAAAACTCTGCAGGCCGGGTACAAGTGATGTGTAGATTGATTACCACTGGTAATGATACAAGCCGACATTGACAGAAAGTCTGTCTGCAATTAATGGAGGCAGTTGGATGGGCATATATACCATTGGTGATACAGAAAGACACATATCGGCAAACATGCGTTGAGAGCAAGACTATTTGACACTAAAATAGATTGATAAAGTGACAGACTCATTTTTATTGATTGGCAGGCTAACAGGATTGAGTGACAAACTAATTTTCATTGCTGGAGATAGTTGGTCTAACACAGATAAGCAGATCGAGATGTAGAGACAAAGGTTTACATTAACAGACAGAATGTAACTAACACATCCAAACAGATGGATGTACATAAAAGAATAAACATAGGCGCAATGTTAGGCAGCCTATGTAACATTATCAGTCTGTGTTGCTGGCTGCAGTTTTACCCTTCATCTGTGAGGTAATGAATATGGCCCCAGTGTTCTGCAGTCTGTGTTGCTGGCTGCAGTGTTGCTGCTCAGCTGTGGAGTGAGTAATGCATCTGCCTCACACTACCAACTGGGATTAGCCTGTGTCTATGGAGACGCACTATTTAACCCTTTTGCTGCCAAGCCCCCCGGAACGCTTTTAACCTCAGCTGGTCACACCATTTTTCACCCTTTTTCTTTATTTTCAACTGTAGCTTTCAGCATGAGTAAAAGACCCCCCAAAATCATATATTTTCTGAAAGCACAGGCCCGGTGGGATAAAAAGATGGTGCTACTAATTTTGAAGGTCCTACAAAAATTGCACAAATGTTTATCAAATCAATATTAACCACTTGCCGTCCGCCCGTTGTAAAAAAACGGACGGACGGCACTGCTGCATTGGCGGGTTGCCGCCTCCAGACGGCATTTTTTTTCTGCTCGCGCGCGCCCCCTAGCGGGCACTGATGAGCGGTAACAGCTTTTAAAGCGTCGCCTATGGCCAATTTTGGGTATTATCGTTTTTTGTGGCTTTTGCGCTCGCACGCTATTTTAAGGCTTGACATGTTTGGTGTCTTTTTACCCGACGTGACCCCGTCTTTTATATTTTACCAAAAAATTGGGTAATAATAAATGTTTTATCATTTAATATAGGGGAAACTGTTTTTTTTTTTTTTTTTTAAATCGGTAATTTTTCCTTTTAATATACTAAAAAATTAAAACCCCAGTGGTAAATAAATACCACCAAAAGAAAGCTCTATCTGTCCCCAAAAAAGGGTATAAAATTAATTTCAGTACAGCGCTGCATGACGGAATAAATGTCAGTCAAAGTACCGCAGCGCTGAATACTGAAAAATGGCCTGGATGGGAAGGGCGTTTAACGCCGCGGATGTCAACTGGTTAAACCAATAAAAATACACAATTAAATTGATAAAAGCACACTAAAATCAGTAAGAGTGTACACAAAAAATACTTCTCTGACTAAATATAAAAAATAAAACAGTTTTGAGTTAATAAATAGACACGTGCGATTCCTTTCGGAAAGATTTGTTATTCGGATGTATCCAAATCTCTGAATGACAGAAATGATGAATGAAAACGGATCCGAATTTCCAAAACCGAACATTTCGGACGAAATTCATTAGCAGTAGGCTGAACGCATGTTCGTCCCGGACAAATGTTCGTTGCAGCAAAGAGACACACAAAACAAAATGGGGCAGTGCTGCTGGGCTGGATTTTTGATTACCACTGGTAATGATACAAGCCGACTGACATTATGGTCTAATGCAGGTGAATGGACCTGAATTATATGTGATGGCGCCAGGTGAGGCTTCAGCCAACTGTGCTTCAGTTTGCAAAGGTTCTGTTGGAATGTCACTTTGATCTGGGAATTTTAAGACTGGTTGTTGCCTGATCAATGACTACAAGGGTTTCATCCTGCGGCAATTCTCCAGGCATTCTTTTTTTTTAACTTGTGAGCCTTTTTTGAGATAAATGGCTTTCAATTACCAAAATGCTCTTGAAGTGTACTGCTTTTCTTTGTGACAAAAGATTCCACCACTGCAGTTAGGTTTGAAAATTAATCCTTGAGCATCATAATGTGGTCTCCGGCAATGTCCACCATTCCATACCTTGGAACCAAAGATGGTAAGCAGTGCTCTTGCATTGCTCCACCATCTAGTATTGTATGTGGAAGACACATCTTGGCATGAAATTACAGACTCTGGTTTGGAAGGCATAACAGAGCAGGATATCACAGATTTAACAAAGGCAGTGCTTGGAAAAGGTATCTTTGCACATGAGATATCAGTTTCTACAGTGTTGGAGGCATTCCTGAAAACGATGTGCTAGATGTGTTACACTCAGAATTGACAAAAATATATCTTGTCGCAAACACCAGAAAACACCAAAAATGGTGGATGGGGTGGTGCTCGCAGTGACCGCGGATGGCGCCACCACGCAGTACAAAAATGGATAGATGTCACCAGCACACCAACAATATAGCAGTCCAGAAAGGTAATTTATTGGAACGTCATGTCACTCAGAATTGATCACTCTGTCAAGGTTCCCCATGTCACCACCTATAGTTAGAAATAGCTGAATGTTCTTGCAGGCATACATTTTGCTGACCAAAAGCTGATCCTGTTCCAACCAGTCCTTTTTAAACTGCTTTCATTTTTTTCATTTGGTGCACCTCTTTACCTTTCTAACTTGTAGATGACCATCTTTTAGAAGACAGGTGAGCACAACCTATTGGTAACACTTAACTATTAATTTAAATTCCTACGCAAAATTTCTAGGACTCAACACTGGAAGCCACTGATCTCCCCTTTGATCCATCAGGGGAGACTCGCTGTGCTGGTCCTGGGCTCTCACAGGGAACAGCGGAGCCCGGATAGCCGACGGCGGCACCGGCGGCAACGGATGGGGGGACACGGCGCAGCACCGCACAAGCGATCCGGCGCTTGTATTTAAAAAGCAATCGCTGGCTGTTTAAGGTATAACCACTTCCAGCGGATGGCGTACATTTACGAGAACCTGCTGGAAGTGGTTAAGACATGACAATTTTGTGCGCTTAATTTATGAAAATTTGGTAGGCTTGTCTCAAACAAAGGCTCCTTATCTACAACTTCTGGAGGACATCTTGCTTGATGAACATTGACCAGGGGATGTGATTTAGGATTTAAGCATTACTGCAGGAGGATATCATTTGTTACATCTTGCTTGGTGTACACTGATATGGGGATAACATCAGGAATGGGGCAATGCGGCTGGAGGACATCACTGTGTTACATCTTGCTTAATGAATGTTGACTTGGGGATGGCATCAGGAATGGGGCAGTGCTGCTAGGCTGGATGGAGCATATCACTGTATTAGATCAAGGTTGCTGAGCCATGAGTTGGTATGGATATGAACTTAGGAATTTTTTTTGCAAATTCCGGGGTCTCCAAATATTACATATAGTTTGAGGTTTGGGATTGAAATGCCTTGAAAAGAAAATAATAAATAACAATTTAAGGTGAAATAATGAACATAAAACACTGGCTGTGCTACGGTACTCAGAAAAGAGCAATCACCCCTAATCTATTATGCAGCAGACATAATATGTTACATACAATATACCCATGTAGTGAAGTTCAGTCATGTGAACATGTAACATTGCAATGATAGTTTAATTTATTTGCAGCCATCAGACAGAGCTCTCAGCACATTTTTCACAGGACTTTCTAGAAACTTCTATAAAGTGCGAGTGACCCTCAAATGAACCATCCAACTATCGGACAGTACTAAGATTTAAGTAATTTTTGTCACTAAATGACTTGCATAAGTCTTATTTATGCACTTCCTAAAGAAGACAAAGACTGCCAGTGCCACATGTATCTTCCCAGATGCTCCACAGTTCCCAAAAATCCCATTCTTACTGTGCCACAATACTGTATATACTTTCACTAAAGAAGGTGGCCACCCAAATCCCAGCATTACCAGTCACCCAAAGTGAGGGACTGATCCCCAGATAAATTATACAATTCTAACTGTGCCCCAGAATATAATTTATTATTTAGACAGTCAATTATTGAGATTACTTTAGTCTTTTCTGGTTTTCTTCAATAAAGACGATGGCTTATAATAATCCTGTGTTCATTACGCAGATCTTCCCTAAAGTCATATTCCACTTTCACCAAGACAGGAACTCAGGGGAAATCTCTCCAACAGAGATTTCTTTGTACCCCATCCCTGTATAAACAAACATTAAACAGTTTTTTTTCTGTCTTATACCTCATGGACACTGCAATAGTGGAATTTTCACGGAGGAGTTTATGATTCCGCGCAGGGCTTCCCCTATAATGAGGTAGCCTGAGGCAGTTGTCTTAGGTGGCATCTCATTGGGTCACGTGGGGTCAAAGTTTCCAAGGTTGCTAAGAGCTTTGGCTGGTATCACGCCCAGCTCCTGTCAAACAGTGACATCAGTGAGCTACACGGGACACCGTGCACCATGAACCGCCCTGTCCCGGCCCCCTGGGACTCCCCACCCAAACATGCACCAATAATAACTGATCCCTCAGAACATGCATCATGAGTTCGCCATCCCCTAACCTTCAAGAGGCGGGAGAAGGTTGCAATGAAGGTGTTTCTCGTTTGGAGATGGATTTCCCAGTCATTTGTGTATTCTACACAATGGAAAATCCATGAAAGAAGTGGGATATGGTTATCTGTAAGGGAGGCAGTAAAAACAGGTGGTTGATCCACATTTTTACCGCCCCCCAACCACCTACCTGAAATGGTGACACTCAGGGTTGCATACATGGTGCAGCAAATTTTAAACGGCATATTGCGTTTCGCAGGTGGTGCCACTTGCCAACAGCGACCATTGTAATCAAAAAAGACCAAAGGCATTGCAATTGGAAAACCCCATTGAGAGGGAAAAAATGGCATTCAGGAAGTGACAGTATTGACTCCTGAATGCCGGACAACCACTGTTCTACTGCTTCTCCTAAGCGATCTACAAGCAATCATTTTTTAGAGGGGAAGCTGAGCCTGCCGCCCATTATAAGGCCTAATTGTAATGAGCAGCTGAAGGAACTGTGAAATCTACCTTACAACTGCAGTCCTTGACTATGGTAAGGAAACATGGACAGCTATATTACATAAAACAATTAATCGGATGCACTATGAGGCCGGGTTCATACTGTTTTGATAAGGTGATACAACACAGCACAGAAAAAAAACACACCTGACCCTTTTTCAGGAATATAACATATGATTACGGAAAATTGTATACTTACCATCTGTAATTTTCCTTTCCTGACGCCAATACATGGCAGCATACAATGGGTATGGCTCCGCCCCATTGTATGCTGCCATGGATTGGCGTCAGGAAAGTTTAAATTCTGTAATTGGTGACACACTGCAGCGTCTGTGCATTGCTATAGTGTGTTGGGGTGCCATTCAAAATGATCGATACTTCAGAGCACCAGCACTCATAATTCGCATTACTGCAAATTGTGGTAACGTGTGTATTAACAGACACGTTATTGCAGTGGAGCAGTGTAAACTGGCCCTTAGATTCTAAATGCAAGGTTGTATTAATATCGTTCTCAATCTGCATCTTATGTAAATGATAATGATATTGTGAGTACTGGTTTCATTTCCGTCTTTTATATGTCATTTGAATATTTTCTCTTTGTGGTTCTCTCCACCATAGTGTGGAAAGAAAAAATATTTAACTGGAAGATGTCTTCTTTGTGGGTTTTTTTTAAAATATATGCTATGACAAAAAGATCTTTATAAAAAAAAAAAAATTAAAGAAGCTTTGTAATGGCACATTCTGACTTTATTAATAATAATAATACATTTTGTGCATATTATTTATGACATTTTGCAATATCATATTCTAATTTATAGATAATAAAAAAAAAAGCAATAATGCAGTTTTACTGTTGGCCACTAGAGGTCACTAGGTGATTTGGCCATATATATCCTTGCTACATATAAATTCCCATTTTGTTATTTGTGTTTATGCAATAGTAACAGTAAGACACAAAAAAAAAGAAAGTTTACAGTATTAATGTCAGCCTTCAGCTGTATGTATTCTGAGGAATTAATAGTAAAAATGAATTATGCAACATTTGAAATGTTGTTTACTGTATGTTAATTGTATAGTGGTGGTATAGACTGTGGTTTTTAACTTCAGAGAGCCCCCCTTCACATCAAAAGCCCAGCCCTCCTGAACCATGGCAATGCTGGCACTGTGCAAGAATTTGAGGCACCCCTGACAAAACCAGGCAGTAGCCCAGGGTGCTACGCCACTAGTGTTTGCCACCTATCTGAGATTCACCCGGACAGTTTGATTTTTGAGTACCGTATGCGCTGTGTGCATGTTTCAGGCCAGTTGAAACCCAGACGGACAGGAACAACCATGGCGTCCTGGTGTTCCTGCTCGTATGCAGCTGTACTCCGTACACAGTACGGGTGTAGACCCCTGCTGATGTGACTTGGCTGAGACGGTTCATGCAACATTTCCAATCTCTCTCTTACACATATACTATCAATTGCATGTGCAATGCTAAATGTATACACTACGAGCAGGGACGTAGCGAGGGCGAGGCGACTGAGGCTCTCGGCGCAGGTGCGCAGGGGCTTGGGGGTGTGCAGCCAGGGCTCAGCACTGCAGAGCGAATTGGGGCGGCACAGTCTCCAGCTTTTCCACTGGATCCCCGCTGCTGTCCCCCATCTGAATGGGCTGAGGCAGCGGGGATCCGAGGAGAAGTTGAGCTCTGCAGCCGGTGGGGCGGAGGAGGGAGCTGCTGTCACAGCAGCGTGGCCGAGCGGGGAGGAGAGAGCCGCTCGGGCCAGGATCTGACAGCCGGCGGCTCTCTCTCTCCTCACCGCTCGGCTATGCTGCTGTGAAAGCGGCCTCCTCCTCCGCGGGCTGCAGCGCTTCCTTCACTTCTC